TAAGTGTTTGAATATGCTTAATCTAATAGGCAACGATGTTAAATGTTTATATGTATATATAACCATTTCATAGTATATTTTGCATACTGTCTATTTATTGACTAGCTGTTACAACTATTTCTGTATATTTAAATCAAAGAGTAAACTAATTATTCATAATAAATCCAATTAACAGTTATTCCCCCTCATCATTTATACACTTCTATTAATAAATATTTGTATGTACTAGTTCTATGTGTAACTAAAAAACTAAGTATCTACATCAAGTAACACGAATGAATAAAGTAGAATAATTTTTTTTAGATGTTCATAGTTAGGCATTCATCAGTGAAGAGGTGCTTAAAAATTCTTCAATTCATTCCTTTATTTTTCTCATATTTTGAATAGTTCAGCTTGACAAAAGGATGTATTCATTTAACAATAGAAATAATATTTGGTAAAAAAAAAGGAAAAATAATTTTCTTCCACATATCTAGTCAGTTCTTTATTTTATCTGTGTTTATTATATAATGTAATAATGTTATTATTTTTTATTATTGATATACCTTACAAAGCATCATCTAAAATCATACACACTAACAAACTCATAAAAACACGTACACATTCATATAAAGTAACTAAATCTCCTCATATATTACTACTACTACTACCACTTACAAAAGTAGCATTCATCACAAGAAATTGTTATCTTTGTATTTTAACGTCAACTCTTCCACTTCATAAGATAAGTATATTACGAATAAATTGATTGACATATACATTACGACATATGTAGATTAGATGGAATTCATGATGCTTCCGAATCGAGAGAAAGAAAACAGAGCGGGTGGAGGGTGATAGGAAATGTGGGAAATAAACAAGTGCTTAATATTCGCTAATAAATTAGATTAGTTAAGCGAGAAACGTTGAAGGAAGTAAAAACATTAACATATGTCTGAACTGACTATCTTATTTTCGTCAATTATAAGTTATAGAAGTAGGAATATGTATCCGCATTGAGCATATATATATTGTTTATATTGATAATTCATAATGTGAAATGATTAGTATGAAACATTTTTCCTTAGTTTGACATTTTAATAAATATTTTGAACATCTTGAGTGATAAGGATTATTAACATTATCGTTACCGTAGTATTGTAACTATCTCAAAAGTGAATATAATGACTTCCAAGATAGTTCACATCATGAATTGACATTAGTCAGTTTGATTTGTCCTGAAAAAATGGATAGTAATCAACAACTGTTCTATATTAATCTCAAGATCTAATAATCTTTTACATATGGATTCATAAAAACGAAAACAACTAAAACCACCAACGACTGTATCTAGAAATATTACCAATTTTACTGAATATAGGTTATTTCAAGAGATTCATTCAAGAAAATCAAATCCAAACATAAACTGATGAGTTAACTTCGCCAGAATCAGTAATGAATGAAATGCGGATAGGTATAGAATAAAGTTCTAAATAGTAAGGAGCATAGATTGAATAACATAATAAATAGTTTATAAGTTGATAAAGTGTTTTGTGGAAAGATTTGTATAGTTCAGAGGTGGTTAAGTAGTAAACTAACATCGGTTACCACTTAAGTTTGTAACTTCTGTGAAATGAGTACTCCTGACTCTAAAAATATTGAATCCTACTCTTTTTGGGTCTCACGGTAAACTCTGTGACATTCGATAACTGATTTAGAACTACAGTTTACAAACCCAGTCAATTTGTGATGCTATCAGTGAGTAGTCAGTTTTAGTGATTCGAACTTGTTTGACTCTACTAGTTATTGTTTTCAAGTAGAATTACAGGAAATCTATCTGTTAACTAGTCCCTAGTGAGAGTAGAAAATTGGGAAAAAAAAATAATATTTTAATGCAACTAGATTTAAAAAAAACCCGTTAATTAGAAGCCTATAGTTTTTAATGGTTATTCATATAATGTTATTTTATAAGAAGCATCAACCTAATAAATTTTATATTAAAATCAATGATAACACTTAATCTTTTGATAACTTGAACACAAATTAATATGCTATTTCAATATGAGTGATTATTGGCCACAGCTGACTAAAAGTTTGAAATAATTTACAAGTTATTTGTTTAATCATTTATTTGAGTCAAAAAAGTCGATGAGTAAACCGATAAGATTTGATAGATACCAAGGATTAGATGACATAAATGAGGTTACCATTGCATAACTAGTTAACGTTTAGATTGTATAGATACATATTTATTCATATTTTCAAGTTATCGCTATAATATTCATAAAACGAAGAATATTTGAGCGAACAATCGTTTTCAATAACTTCATCATCAAGCACTACAATTTTAAATCCATAATTATAATATTTTACAAAGGCCAAAAATAAGGCATTTATTAATGAATTTGACAATGTTATGTGTTAAAATAAAATAATGAACTTTTGCATCTGTTATGACATATATACTTTAAAATTGTGTTATTTGCAAATTAGAAAGGTCAGAATGATTTGGAGTAAAGTGTCTAGTCACAATAAGTAGGATAGTATTATAGTAAAAATGAAAATGCAAAAAAAAACTGTGAATAAAACATATAGTAGGAGAATTTTATCTTGTCAATTGAGATAATAATAATAATATTGTCATATGAATATAATATGTAATAAGGGGGTGTTATCAAGGTAATTACGATAAACGAATTGGGAGTTATGGATATGAAGATTAAGATAGAGGTAATAAAAAAAGGAAGAGGGTAAGATGTTTATAATATTCAGTTTAGGTATCCGGTGTCCCAATCATAGGCCATGGTAAACATAGAGGCTGTATATACCTTTTCTGGATACATAAGTTTGGTTTTCTGGAGTTGATCCAGATGGCTTCGGCTATGTAGAGCAACCATAATCTAGCTCTATGGTGTAGATTTTTTAGAACTTGATATAAAAGAGAAAGTTTCCTCTATTTTGATATGATGTTCACTATCTACCAAGTGAGAAAGAATAGTGATGTTAATCGATTTAGTAACTCTTTTTCCCAACCATGCTGGTTTATTATTTATTTATTTGAACACATAAATATTGGTACAAGAGAGCGCCAATATATATGCGCCACACAAAACAATGAAAATTCGAAGAGAAATAGAAAGAAAAAAAAAACTAGGGAACGCAAAAGAAAAAGAGAACAATGACGAAGAGATTGGAGTAAGGTAGTGTGGTAGTAACGACGGAACGAAAAGGTACAATCAGAAGAAATCTTTCAGGTAAAGGAGACACAACCACTTTTTAGAAAGAAAGTAAAAGAAGGTTACAGCAGGATCGCCACTGGCTTCTATTCTGAGCCATATCTGATAACGTCTCTAGCCACTGTGTAGCACCATCTCTCGGACCCCAACCAGGGAGTCGTGAAGGACCAACACAAGCCAGTCCTTTGCAGCTTTCTTTCATGCCACGACACCATGTCATGCACTGACCACCTCTCCGCCTCTTCCAACCAGTCCCAGAGTCGGCAAATAATGCACGACGTGGAATTCTCTGGGACGACATTCGGAGAACATGTCCAAGCCACCGAAGTCGGTGTTTCAAGATGGTGACACCAATTGAGTTATCATCTCTGTGCCCGAACACACGATGCCGAACCTCTGCATTACTGACATGGTGTTGCCACTGAATGTCAGCAATCCTTCGGAGACAGCGATGATCGAACACAGAGAGTCGTCTAACGTCCTCAACTCGGAGAGGCCAGGTTTCACAAGCATAGAGCAAAACTGCTCTCACCGACGCGTTGTAGATCCGACCTTTTACAGCCAGACTAACATCACGAAGGCGCCAAAGGTGGCCCAGATTGGCATAAGCCGCTCTGGCTTTCACTATTCGTGCATTGATCTCATCACTCACACCCCCACCAGCACTTATGCAGCTACCCAGATACACGAACTTCTCAACTACGTCTATCTGCTCACCGTCCAGGGTGAGTACAGGATTAGAATCCTGCCAGTCTTGTAGAAGTACTTTGCACTTCGAAGGTGCAAAGCACATACCATACCTACGGACACTGATTGCCAACTGATTAAGTGCGGATTGCATGCCTTGGGCATTATCGCACAGTAAGACAATATCGTCCGCATACTCAAGGTCGAGAAGTCTTTCTCCAGGCAACAGATCCACACCACCATTACTTACATTCATCAGAGCTGTTTCCAGAATGTCATCGATGGCAAAGTTGAAGAGGAATGGTGAGATTGGGCAACCCTGCCTAACCCCACTGCTCGAATGGAACAATGGAGAGAGGTGGTTGTATGCCCTCACTCTGCCTGAGGTGTTTTTATACAGGGCTTTCAGGATGTTAATAAACTTCTCAGGCACACCCTTCTTCAATAGACAATCCCAGAGAACAGTCCTGTCCAACGAATCGAAGGCAGCCCTGATGTCAAGAAACACTACGATTGTTGGCCTTTGAAAAGTATGGCGGTGTTCTAACATTTGGCGGAGGGTGAAGATATGATCAATACATCCTCGACCAGAACGAAACCCAGCCTGCTCCTCGCGAGTCAATCTTTCTCGGGTTTTGAACAACCTACGAAGAATGACGGAAGCCAATAGCTTGGACGCAATCGGAAGTAAACTTATCCCCCGATAGTTGTTACAAGAACGACGTGAACCCTTTTTAAAGATAGGGACAACTATCGACTCATTCCATGACGTTGGTACACACTCTAGTTCCCAAACCTTTGTAAACAACGTCGTCAATTCCTTAGTCAAAAAGTCACCACCATCTTTAAAAAGAGCCGGAGGTAAGTCATCTGGGCCAGGTGATTTGTAACGCTTCAAGAGTTGGAGTTCCTTGCGGACTTCCTCCTCATTTGGTGGATCAGTCGTCACCGGCCATGGAGGGCAGGACAGTCTGACCGATGTTGCCGGAGCAGCAGGCCAGTTGAACTGCCCTTCGAAAAATTCTGCCCATCGTCCAAGACGTCGATGGATGTTAGTGATTGGCATCCCATCATCCTCGCAGATTGTTTCACTCACACCAGACTTCTTGCTGCCAGTGGCTCGGATGAGCTGGAAGAGCTTCCGGTAGTTACCAGATGCAGCTGCTGCTTCCAGCTCATTAGCACGCATCGACCACCAGGCTTCTCGGTCCTTACGCAAGCTTTGCCCAATCTCCTTACGTAACATCCTTCGTTTATGGTCAAACTCACGGTCACCCGGAGTAGACCGACGGGCTTCAATGAGTTGTAAGGAACCAGAAGAAACCCAGTGCTTAAAGCGGGACGTTTCGCAAACCCACAACTGACTGTTCCCGCCATTTTCATGGCGTCATGCAATTGCAACCAATGCTCATCTATACTTTTCGGTGGAGTGGTAGCTAGCCTAGAGGCTAGCTCGGTTCGATACTTACTTGCAACAGAAGTTGCAACCAGCTTGCTAACATCAATCCGTTGATGGCGTTCACTTCGTTGTCCACTGAAAAGTAAGGCAAGATTGGCGCAGACCAAGGCATGGTCAGAGTCCAGATAGGTACTCCAAAAGGAGCGGCAGTCTTTTACACAACCACGCCAGCGGTAGCTGATCGCGATGTGATCAATCTGAGTCCAGGCTTGAGATGCAGAGGGAGGACGCCAGGTGGCACATCGGCGATGACTGTGCCGAAAGTTAGTGCTAGCCAGAAACAGGTTGTGGTCTGTGCAAAGTTGCAGTAGACGGTCCCCGTTATCTGACCTGCGACCAACGAGTCCCCATCGGCCACCTAAACGACTCTCTTCTGTGCCTAGACGCCCGACCTGAGCATTCAAGTCTCCGGCTAGTACTACAATATCTGTCGAACGCACTTTCTGGAGAAGAACTGATAACTGGTGGTAAAACTCATCCTTGATTGCATCCGGGCTGCAATCTGTCGGGGCATAGGCGGAGATGACGAAAAGACATCGTTTCTCACGCCGATTTCTTCTCACTTTGATGGAACTTTCTAATCTAACAGCACATAACCGACTGTTAATGGGGATCCAATCGACTAGTGCTGCCTCAGCTCTAGCGCTTAGTGCGACACCAACGCCAGCAAGACCAGACGAAGATGCCACAGGGTCCCCGGATAAGCGCACGTAAAACAAGCTTTTCGAAGCGACAGATGGAGATCGAATTTGTAGTACTTCGCCAGAGTCTTGAATACGGGTCTCGGATAGACAACACACGTCGATATTAAGACTTTCCAAAGACATAGCCAGCCCTATCTGTTGTCCGACCTGCATAAATGTGCGAACGTTGAAGGCAGCCAGTTTGAATGGTGCACGTGGTTTCAGAAAATCTGCTTCAGTCCTCGTATTCGGTGGTAACATACAATTTTCAACCGGACAGTGACTCGAGAACGTTTGATACAGTCGGATTTCCACCAAAGACGAGCCGCTGTATAAGTATAAAAGAGGGTGAGTAATGTGGAAAATAATAATAATAATGATAATAATAACAATAATGACAATAATACTAGTAATAATAATAACAGTATTAATAATGACAATAATTGTAATGATAATAATCTGAATCAATTGTTTGTTTTTCAAAGCAAGAAAGGTAATTTCCGTAGGCATAAAGAGTTCATCATTTGTGTGTGGGCTGTGATACTGCCCGGGTGCCCAAACCGAAGCAGGTGGTTATCTTAGGGGGCCACTCCCCGAGCCTTTGACCTAAAGGTCTAACCCACAAGGCAGTGGAGCATCGTAAGGAGATGCAGTCCCATGGTAGCCGGTGACCAACGATTGGTTCATACGCCATTCGTTCCCGCAGGATACTGGAGCCCATGTGCACCATTGATTTGGAATCCGGTTAAAGCGCCGGACATTCGCTTTTCGTCCTCTCATTTTCGTAGACAACACCCCCGCCACGAGAAGGCAATGAGTAGGACTTCCCTGGCAGAGGCTGTATACGCGTGGCCGTGTGAGAGTATTTCGAGAGGGAGAGCGGACTCTCCCCACTCTCGGCCGTACCAGGGCATTCAGGGGGGCTGGTATATGTTCACGGACACGCAAGGATAAAGCCCTTGGAGTACGACCTATGTAACTAGCTCCACAGGAACAGTTGAATTGGTATACACATCTTCGGTAACCTATCCTTGATTGATTGTGTGAGTACTGGTTTAGTTGAGAAAATTATGTGTGTTATAAATATCTTTTTTACGTTGTTATAAGAAATAAAATAATTTTTCAGTAGGTCGATTCATATTTAACAGATAAAATTATTCAGAGCTGGTAAATTAAATTAACTTTTATCAAAATATATGACTTATATATAATGAAAATTAAGAGACGTAAATAATTTGTAATATATATGTACAAGTTTGTATATGCGAATACTACTTTTATACACTTAACTAGTAGTCTCAAATGATTTGCAGATGTCTGATATAATTTATTTTTATTTTGGATACATGTACATGAAATTAGGTAGAGCTTGTTTACCAAATGACGTTTTCATCAGTGAAATATTCATTATAAATTATTTTACTAAGCGAATATTTTAAATTAATTTTCGGTGATAATGACGACAATAATGATTCGAAATTAATAAATTAGACGATAAATAGTGACTAGGAATCTAATGTTTTATTTTTTTCCTTATTAAGTTATATCAGCTGAAAAACTGATGTAAACTATGATAAACTGGTCAATACTTCTGATTATTAGTATCAGCATCTTGGCCAATATACATACAAAATTCTACACACGAAATTAAATTCAGGATCTTCTAGCTTTGTAGCGAGTAGGACAATAAATTCACATTTAATAATTCAAATTTTGATTTATAGTCACTTTCTGATGTATAGCATAACTATTATTTAATATCGTTGACGATGTTCATCATTCACCGACATGTTTGGACTGATGTGGTCATGTTTTATCACTGGAACCAGTAACTATATATTTGTGTGGTAGTAATTTACTGATAGGAAGACTGAGTTAATGAGTAGTAGCATTAGTGATTCAAGTTTTATCTAAAAAAGTGACCAGCTGTTAATCTAATTCAAATGAACAAAATTTATCAATCTTCAATTTGTACGCATACAAAAATACAATATAATCAAATATAATAGACAACCAAATAGTCTATTTCAATTACATATTATTAATATCAGTACTGCACAATCAGGAATAAATTAGATGTTTACACAGCGTATGGAATAAAGTAAGTAAAATATCTAAAATATGGTTTTAACTCATCAGTATCGCTTTAAAAAATATTCTCATTAATAAACTCTAAATCATGAATAACATTTTGACCTCCTATTAAGAATTAGCGGAAAATCTTTGGAACCTACTAATAAATGATCATTAGTTGAATCATTATTCTCTATTATTGATAATTATTTAATTTTATTTGTATTTCATTGAAATGATCGAAGACCAAGTAAACACAACCATTCAGTGAAATTCTTTTGTTCTAGTTTCTTTTTTAAACTTAATATATAAATATTGAAATGCTCTACACATATGCCAATATAAGACTGAGCAGTTGCAGTCCTAAAAAACAATGGGAAAATACAAGTAAAACAACACCAAGTGAATCGACAAATTTTAGTTGGTTGTCTTTTTAAAAAGTCAACTTTTATAGTTCAATGGTTAAGATCATGAGTCAGTTGAAGTTAGACTACCATGGAAAACCTGAACGGCCGTTTTGTCCTATTGTAGGACTCCTCAGCAGTGCTCAACCACGACCTCGTCCCCTGCGAGATTCGAACCCAAGACCTACTGGTTTCGTTCGCGAGCACTTATAGTTCGGTTTATGAAAAAATATATTGAAATCATTATTATTACAGTTATAGATGGTTGTATTATTGAATGTAATAACCTATTGTTTTATTGGATTTTTCGTTAATGTCAGTTTTCATTAGTTTTTATTTTATTGTCAAGAATTAAAATACGTTGAAGTTAAAAAGAATCACTCCATATATATTTTTAAGTTGCATGCTCTTGTCTTTTGTAACTGACTACATTAACTTGCATGATTATTTCTTGAAAATGTATGGATAATAAAACATTGAAATGAAAGTGTACACGATACAACAAATAATAATTTTCACTCAAATTTAAGTATTAGAATTGAAATAAACATTGTGATAAATTACTGTGTGATTTCCCGAACGTTGTTGCTACCTTGACGTGGTGGTCGGGCTGACCTATCGTGATGAAGCAACCGAGCTATACTGGCTGGAATAACCGTTCCTCAAGGTCCTACCATGTCAGACAGGTCGGTTGAACAGTGGTAAGATTAAAAGCAACAAACCCAAGGTCCGAAGGCGAAGTCGTACTGCTGACTGCACAGAGGTGTGACAGCAGTAAGGTGTTTCCTTCAGACACCCAGCATGACAACGATGCTGCCTTCTCACAAGGAGAGGTGGGGTTAGAAAAGGTCGACCCTAAAAATGCACACCTCACCTTATCCCACGGATATCCATCTCCGGCGGTAAGGTCTCAACAAGTACGGAGCTAACAAAAAAATTACCGATAAAAAAGTCGTGTGTGACCGACCTCAATCAGTTGTACCTTAGGCACCGCAGTCACGCTCCCAGGTCACTAAGACCACCTCTAATCCAACTTCCCTTTCAGGTACCTCCAGAACAACCCTTCCACGGTGTGGGCAACCGGGAAGTGATAACCACCCTCATACCTCTAACAGCACTCAAGACCACTGTATTCATAATCAACCTCCTCTTCACTTCCTATCACTCCTCCTACATCGACTCTCACCTCTAAACTTCCGTTTTCGGCTTCCTCCTCAAATGTCACCATAGCCAATTATTCTAGTGCTCAAAACACTGTCCTAGGTCTATTGAAACCTCGCTCCAAACTACACATTGAGGCCTTCAACGTACTCACTCTATGTCAAATCGGTCAGCAAATTCCTTGGCTAGAACCCTAGAATCTCGTACCATTGATGTATGCTGTGTCTCTGAAACACGCATACAGGATCCCAGTGTGGTCACTCACTTGACCTCACCTCGGCAAAACGGAGAGCCAACGAGATACACCCTCCGTGTATTTGGTGACCCGATGGCCAGCTCTCGTGGAATGACAGGAGTAGGCATAGCACTAAGCATGAGGGCGGAACAAACACTGTTAGAGTGGATCCCCGTTAACAGTCGTTTATGTGCTGTTCGGCTAAACGGCTCCGTAAGAACTCGGAAGGATAGGGACACACGTCGTTGCCCTTTTGTCGTTTCTGCCTACGCTCCCACCGACTGCAGCTCAGATGAAGTGAAAGATGAATTTTACAGAAAGCTAAACGGTCAGACATAGTACTCGTAGGGGTGACTTTAATGCCCAGATAGGTAGTTTAAACCAAACAGAAAGGCATTTAGGTGGGTATTTTAGTATTCCGGCACAATGAACAGATAATGGTGATCGTCTGCTGCAACTGAGCTCAGACAATCGTTTATTTTTAGCAAACACAAATTTTAAGCATAAGGAGAGACATCGTCTAACATGGCGACCCCCTACACCAAACCAACGATGGACTCAAATAGACCATATTGCCATCAGTCATCGTTGGAGAGGGTCGGTAGAAGATTGTCGCTCATTCTGGAGTACCTGCTTGGACTGCGACCACGCCCTAATACGGGCACGCATCTGCTTGCGCCTCACTGGACGCAAAAAAGCCACAGTAAAAAGACCCATTAGAACTGAATTGAGTAGCGAGAAAACCAAAAGTAGGTTCCAGGAACAACTGAGGTCACAATTAGGTAGTTCTGAAAACGAGGTTGACCCAGATGTTGCTTGGAAAGCTATACAAACAGCTGTGGAAACAGCAGTGACATCTGTTAGCGATTTAAACCACAGGGTTACAAAGAACCAATGGATTTCTTCAAGGTCTATTGCACTGATGGATTCTCGTAAACTCATCCCATCAGGCTCTGAACACGATGAACAGCGACAACAAATCAGATCTAGGTTAACCAAAAGTCTAAGGAACGACCGTGAGCAGTGGTGGGCAACGAAAGCAAAAGAGATGGAAAAGGCGGCGGCTATAGAGAACACAAGACAGCTCTACAGACTAATAAAAGAAACTGGAATTAATAAGTCAAGTGTAAGTCAGACTATTTCGAAAAAAGACGATACTCTCATCTGCTCTCAGTCCAGACGTTTAGAACGATGGGCGGAACATTTCAGAGAACAGTTCAACTGGCCTTCAGCTACTCATGAACTTCCCTCCATTCCAAGACAGTGTGAATGGAACATTGAAGTAGGTCCCCCAACTCTAGCAGAAGTTCAAAAGGCTATAGTTAATCTGAAACGAGGAAGAGCAGCTGGTCCAGATGGATTGGCTCTAGAGGTCTTTAAGCATGGTGGTCTAATTTTAGCGATTAGGTTGACTAATATTTTAGCAAAGATCTGGGAGTTAGACGTTATCCCATTTCACTGGTCACAATCACTTATCGTCCCAATATATAAGAGAGGGTTAAAATCATCCTGTGACAACCATAGAGGGATTAGTTTAACTAATATAGTATCTAAAATACTAGCCTCGATAATTATCGGACGCCTAACTAAGACTCGTGAACTGCAAACACGAGAGAATCAAGCTGGCTTCAGACCTG